TTCCGCCTCAGTCTTCCAAGTCGCTGGAACTACAGGCGCGCGCTACCACGCCCGGCTGATTTTTTGATTTATCGTAGAGATGAGGGCTCGCCAAGTTGCCCAGGCGGGTCTCGAACCCGCGGGCTGAGGCAATCCATATTTTATATTATTAACCGCCACAGAACAAGCAGTACAAACCAGGGAAGACCGTTCACGTCTATTTGGCCGCAAAGCTCTATTTCCCACCGTATCCATATGAAATTAAATTCCATTTCTCTCTTCGGTTCAGAAAACTTTTGTGCCCACCGTTCTTGATTTGTATCAAGAAACCCAAGGGGAAGGTAAGCCAGCCAAGTCCAAACTGCCATATGGCATTCCCATCCTGGGGAAAATCCACGTTAGCATTTTACTTCAGCCAGAAGTAGATTAAGCAGATAAAAATTTCAAAATAAAACACAATCAGTTAATTAAAGTAAGGAAAGACTTGTATTTGTTTTATGCTAGAATGGATTGAAGACAGGCTTCCCGTGGCATCACGCCAAGAAGAGTTATTTCCGAGATTAAGGCTTTTCAAACAGGGCTCCCTGGGAGCGGGAGGTGCTGAGCTGACAGGGCTCTGTCACCTTAACTTCAACCAAAGCAGCTCCGCTTTGTTCTGTCACATACTGAATTTTTCCCGGAGGCTCTCTGTGAAAAAAGAGGGTTCTACAACTCAAAGGCTTAGAGGCAAAGGGCCGGGTTGTATGGCCTCATTCTGCTTCTCAGTACCTGTGTGGCCTTAGGCAAGTTCCTGAGCCTCTCTGTGTTCAGTGTCCGAACAGTAAAATGCAAATATTATTAATTATTCACAAGAATAATCAACAATGGTGTTGTTCATGACTTAATATTTGTCAAGAACTTACAACAGCACATATAATAAGTGATTTGTATATGTTTGTTGAAGTAGTAAACAAAAATGAAACCATTATCCACAATTAAAGGCTGTCAAGAAGTCTGAGTGGTTTACTTTCCTGCAAAGAAGAACTAGGTAATATTAAATAATCTGCAGACTGGGCTGGGCTATAAGGGGAAATGTGCTTTGTGGGATTTTAAGACCAGTAAATCCATGATAATGTGAACATCTAATGAACAGCCTACAATCTACAAAGCAATGCACACACATTACTGTGAATTGTAATCTGTGTGATAAACCAACACATCACTTTGCACCCAAGAGAGTGGTAGCTAAACCCACCACTCTGGTTAATGACATGAGACTAGCTGCAGTATTCTCCAACCAACACATATCAGGGGCTGCTACGGACTGATTCGTGTCCCTCCTACGAGTTCACAGGTTGAAGTCCTAACCCCCAGGTTCCTCAGAAAGGGACCTCAGTTGGAAACAGGGTTGCTGCAAATGTAATTAGTTTTGTAAAGAGGTCGCACTGCAGGAGGGTGGACCCTCCTCCAGCATGGCCGGTGCCCTTATAAACAGGAGGTAACTGGAGAGAGATGTTTGCACAGGGAGAATGCCACGTGAAGATGAAGAGAGCCCAGGGATGCATGCCGAGTGACAGCAGAAATGACAAGCAACCCACCGGAAGCAAGAAGGAACTAACCGCGCAGATACCTTGACCTTGAACTTCTAACTTCCAGAACTGGAAGACAATCCATTTCTAGGGTTGAGCCACTCAGTTGGTGATCTCTTGTTAGAACAGCCCTAGGAAACTAACACACATGTGGTTTACATTCTAGAGACCTTAACAAAGGTGTTTTCTTTCTCCGTCCCTGATTCATTCATTCAGATGGTAAATATTTATTGAATACCACTGTGGACCAGGCTCCTTGGCTCAGCCTGTCATCCCAGCACTTTGGGAGGCCGAGGCGAGTGGATTGCCTGAGCCTGCGAGTTCGAGACCAGTCTGGGCAACTTGGCGAGACCTCGTCTCTACAATAAAAATCAAAAATCAGCTGGGCATGGTAGTGCACGCCTAGAGTTCCAGCTACTTGGAAGGCTGAGGAGGAAGGGTGGCCAGAGCCCAGAAGGTCGACCCTGGGGTGGCCATGAGCATGCCACTGCACTCCAGCCTGGGTGACAGAGTGAGACTTCGACTCAAAAAAATAAAATACCGCCATGGGAGGAGCAAGGCTTCAAGAGTGAATCCCGCTTTCACGGGACTTTCAGTACAGACAGACACTAAACAAGGAAGTGAATCTACTAGCCAATCTGGTGCGAGGTGGTGATGGAGAGGCAGGAAGAAAAGCAGATCATGGTCACGGGGCAAAACGGGGCCTGCTCTGGATGAGTGACCGGGGAAGCTGAGCCAAGGAGGCGACATCCAAGCATTCGGCTTGAAGCATAAGAGGCACAAAGGGCACAGCTCTAAGAGGAAGCAAAAACAGAGGCCTGCATCTGCCAGGAGCAGTGTTCTAAGAACAGCACATCAAAAATAAAAAATAAAAATAAAATAAAATAAATCTGTGAATTTCACAAGGTTGCTATACACAAAATCAGTAAATAAAATAAATTGTACTTCCATATACCAAAAAAAAAAAAAGCACAGGACAGCCCGCAGTGTGGCCTCCCATTTTCCTTTCATTTACTTGTAACGTTACAGGGTTTCTTTATATGTTCCTTTCATTTGTGCAAGTCCACTTAAACATGTTGAGACTCCCAGTTTGCCTGAGTTATCTTCTGAGCCGCATCAAAGCAGGTCTAGCCCTGGCTGCTGGGGCTGAAGCCTGGCAGGGTGAGGCTGTCAGTGCCGCGAGGCGTAGGCAGCCAGGTCAGCCCAGA